GTGGAGAATTTAGCTTTTCCTATTCCAAATGAAAAAGAAGACTTATAATTTATGATTGGTGATGAAATTCTGCACATAAATAATTTTAAAGAGGGATGGAGTGGTGGTTGGGTAAATTAATATGTTTTAAACCTGTTTCTTGTGGGTCAGGAATCCTTTATGAGAAGGTTCCTTCTTATTTTGACTATAAAACTTCAAAGGACTTTTTAGAAAATCTGCTTCATTCAGTCTTTCCCAGTCATTAAAAATTTAGGTTCTGCAACTGTTGTCCCTCTAGTCATATGGCTGATTGGCCTTAAATACAACTACAGAAAGGGGCGCCTGGGTGGCTCAGTCGGTTAAGCATCTGACTCTTGGTTTCGGCTCAGGTCATGATTTCAGCGTCATGGGATCCAGCCCTGAGTTGGGCTCCATGCTCAGCACAGAGTCTGTTTGTCCCTCTCCCTCTGCTCCTCCCCTTGCTCTTTCTTTCTCTCTCTCTCTAAAATAAATAAATAAAATCTTTAAAAAGAAAACCCAACTACACATGGGAAAAACATAGGAATATAGAGATAATACACTTCACATTATAGATGACTTTTGGGATACTTGACTTAATAAAAATTAGTAACTGGCAGGGACCAGTTTTAAGATATATGGGATCTCGAAAGAGCTTTGTTTAAGCTCTATACAAAGAGTTTTGTTTATTTCTCATGTTCCTTTCCTTAGAAAGCTGTAGGGGAATGCTCTATCAAAATTAAGGAGTAAACCTAGAAATAAGGAGACTTGGGATCCAAGAAACCAGGGATTTAACCCAGGAGAGAGGAATCCTGAGAGGATGCCAAAGGGAAGTTCCAGTATCACAGTTGTACTGAAGGCTGAGGAGAGCACTTAGTCCAAATTGGAGCAGGAGGACAGAAGTTACCAGGAAGGGATACTCCACAGAAACAAAAACAAAACAAAACATTGATAAAAGAAATATAGGTATAGTGCACCATTTTCCTTGGCAGTGAAAAGCACATGTGAGCCATAATACTAAAAAAAAAAATATGACTTTAATGGAGAATGTGTTACGACTCTGAAGATGCAGCTGGAGTGCGGAGAAATATTCTGTACGAAGTTGATGTAAAAGACTAAGTTCTCACTTTCATATTTGAGAGACCATAGTTTCTAAAACTGAAAAATTAATAGTGCTATAAGTATTTTATTTAGAAATACAGAGATAAATACCAAATGAAACTACCAAAAAAGTTCAAAGTGGTTGCCACTTGAAAAGGGGGACAGAACTTGTTTCTTGTTATAAGTCTTATTTGATTTTTTAAATACACAATAAAAATAAATATTAAATTTAAAAAAGAAAAAGCCCTTTCACTTGATTGACAGTTTGGCTAGATACAGAATTCTAAGCTGGACATGTTTTCCTTCAGAAGTTGTAATGCAATGCTCCATTATCCTCTAGCTTCTGATGTTGCTACTGAATTTTAGTATGGAATTGAATGTGAGCCCCCTCCCTTTTATTTTTTTCATTTCAGGAAGATTTTAGGATATTCCTATTATTCTCAGTGGTCTAAAATTTTATGATGGTATGTCTTGGCATAGTTGTGTTTTCATCTGTTGCATTGGTCATTCAGTGGATTCTTCTAATCAAATGTCCTTCAACTCTGAGAATTTCTGTTGTATTATTACTTTGATTTTTTTTCCTTCTTCCTGTTAGCCCTTAAATTTCTGAATTAAGATCTTAGATCTGCTGGATGGATCCTTTAATTTTCTTATTTTTTCTATTTTCCTTCCTTTTTGTCTCTTTGTTCTACTTTCTGTTCCCTAAACATTTCTTTTTCTATGGCATTCTATTCTTGTTTTATGTTTATTCATGTTTATGTCATCATGTTTCCTAAGCTCATTAACAGAATAGAGAAGTCATTTAAGCAGATATTATTTAAAAGATGGTGAGAAGCTTGTCTCCATATCCACTGAAAACATAAGGGAGTAAAATAGCCTTAAGATACATAATGAGTAATATTTTACATAGAGGGGAATCAAAGTAGGGTGGACATCCAGGATTTGGTGTGCTCATCTTCTCCTTTTGAAAGCTGTTCCCCTTTCCACACTGTCATCCATATGGTTCTATCAGTACCTACCATGATGTGTGACTTTCTCTGCCACTCACGTGATTAGTCTGGGGTAGGGACCTGATCCAAGGTGATTTAATCACAATTTTTCTCTGGGAAACTTTTAAATCAGAACTGAGAAAAAGCAACCAGTATTTTTCTGGGCACCCAAACCATAAGATATAGAAATTGGCAGTTCTTAAGAACCATGTTTCCTGCCAGATGAACCTGAGAAGCAGTGGAATTCTGCAGCAAAAACTAGCACAGAAGCATAAGCAGCTGCACAGAGAAAGGCAATTAGTGGAAAAGGAGATAAGAGTCTCAGAGGCATCAGGATCCGCTGTTCCTGAGCGAAGTCACATCTCTGTCCTAGGGATCTCAATATCCTCATTAAATTCTCCTTTTGGCTTAAGCTAGTTTGAGTTGGCCTCTCTCTCCATGGTAAAAAATCCCTCCTAACTAACACACTCAGTTTATTTGATGCTTTCTGTGAACTAGGCAGTGTATTGACGCTTTATAAACTTTATCTCATTGAACCTCTCTGAGGTTGGTAAAATTATTTTACACATGAAGAAATTTTACAACTCCAACTGCTGTATAATAGACGCCACTATCTAGATGTCCCCTGGTGTAAATCAGCATGTCAAAAACACACCACTTCTCCATCTAAAAAATGGGAAAGCGGTTCTCGCTGCCTGAACTGCTCTTTTTCCTACAGACACCTGGCTAACTCCTTCTTACCTTGAGGCGTCAGCTTAAATGTTCTCAGAGGAGACTGTCCTGCCTCCCCGATCTCGAGTAGGTTCCTCAGTAACACCTTCTTTCCTTCTCCAACAATGTAATCACACAGTTAGTATTTCGTTTAGTTCTTTTCGTTTGCACTCGCCTGTGCGAGACTATGAAGAGTCCAGGATGGCGGGGCCTATACAGTGCTGTCTGCCACTGAGGCCCCTGCATCTAGCACTGTCCCTGGCACATGGAAGTGGCTCCATAAAATGTGTCTGGAGACATTAAATACTTTTTTTTTTTTAAAGATTTTATTTATTTATTTGAGAGACAGAGAATGAGAGACAGAGAGCATGAGAGGGAGGAGGGTCAGAGGGAGAAGCAGACTCCCTGCCGAGCAGGGAGCCCGATGTGGGACTCGATCCCAGGACTCCAGGATCATGACCTGAGCCGAAGGCAGTCGCTTAACCAACTGAGCCACCCAGGCGCCCCGAAGATTTTTTTTTTTTTTAAAGATTTTATTTATTTATTTGAGAGACAGAGAATGAGAGACAGAGAGCATGAGAGGGAGGAGGGTCAGAGGGAGAAGCAGACTCCCTGCCGAGCAGGGAGCCCGATGTGGGACTCGATCCCAGGACTCCAGGATCATGACCTGGGCCAAAGGCAGTCGCTTAACCAACTGAGCCACCCAGGCGCCCCGAAGATTTTATTTATTTATTTGAGAGAGAGAATGAGATAGAGAGAGAGAGAGCATGAGAGGGGGGAGGGTCAGAGGGAAAAGCAGACCCCCTGCCTAGCAGGGAGCCCGATGCGGGACTCGATCCCTGGACTCCAGGATCATGACCTGAGCCAAAGGCAGTTGCTTAACCGACTGAGCCACCCAGGCGCCCGGAGACATTAAATATTTCTAAATATTTTCTTTTATGTATCTATGAGGCTAGAGTCAACAACTTTCAACACCTATTCTTGAGGGAGTAGTAACATGCAGGGCACTCTGCCAGGCCCTAACTGAGCCAAAGACACAGAAGAAGATATGACTTCTCTCCTGCAGGGGTTCACAGTAGAGCGTGAGGCTCAAGCAATTATAATACCAGGGGAGAAGATTTATAACAGAGATATAAACAAAGTGCCATGGTTACAAGGGAGGAAATAATCGGGATATAATCCAGGAAGTTAAAGTGAGGAAAGGAAAGAAAGGAATTGCCAGGGTTGCCATTCAAATGGTTAGATTCTTTATGTCTCTATCCTATACAGCTTTTCCCCATAACCCTTCCAATTTATAAGACCTGGAGCAGAGTGACAGTAAGGATCTTCGCAAGTAGTGGTATATGAAAACTATAATTTTCTTGAATCTTAGGATCATCTCTATCATTTGCCTTATCTCCATATCACTCTGCAAAGACACTGAGTCTAGCTGCCCGCCTCAGCCCAGGATTCTTCAGAAAAGCCCAGGCCTATATTACAGGTCAGGGCTTTTTTTTTTTTTCCCCACACTGCCAGATCTGCTTTCCTGATTCTGAGATTAGAGGACAATGGCTTTGATCCCTTTTAACACTCAAAGAATAATGCTCCTCTGTCACAACGCAGTCCCAAGTATTCTCATTACAGTGGGTAGTTTTGCGGACAATTACCTGTCTGATGCTTGTTTTCTCTCCCACTCATCTCTAACATAGTGCTCCATCAATGCAGATTAGGGACTATTCCTCTAGCTATGATCTAGAATAGAATTCTTCTTTCTCTATCTTCCCTACATCTATATTACTTGTTAGGGACATTTCAAATCAAATCTTTCTTTGGGGTTTGCTTGTTGATATGTGTGAGTGATTGGGGTTGATGGGAGGGAAAACAAATGGTTTTGGCAAATCATCATTATAGCTAGTAAAACCTACAAAGGATGCAACAGGAGGAAAAATGTAGATATTATGTAACTGTGTGCCTTTTTAATCTCAGAATTTTAAATATTTAACACCGTCACTATGTACTTAACATCAGTGGTCTTAGAAATTAGACTCCCCCCTCAAAAAAGACTTTCCAAAAAGGCCCCACTGAAATGGAAAAAGTCTAATGTTCGAACTTTAAACAACTATGAAATGAAAAAAAAGAAAGCATTTTCAAAGTTAAAATATTTTCCTTTCAAACCAAAACTTGCTTCATCTATTGATTCATCAAATATTAATTGGTACACACCTGAAAGGTCAGCTTTGTATCTTGGTTGAGAGCCCCAGCTCTGGCTGCTGATAGAATTCCATCTTTCCCATTTATTAGTTCGCTGTCCTTGGGCGAGTTACTTAGCTTTGTGTGCTTAGTTCCCTCATCTGTAAAATGGATATAAATATTAGAATTACCTCACAGGATTGTCATCAGAATTATATATATAGTGTTTAAGAATATTTGACACCACATCAGTATAATTACTCTTACCCTTAATTTTCTTTCAGCCCTGAGGTGAATGCCAAGTATTTTTGGAGGGCACTGAAAATTCCTTGAAGTGAAACTATTTGATTAAATTAAATCCTAAATGTGAGTGCATCCTGTATCTCTCTAAATAGGGGCACAGAAAATGGATAACCAAGGAACAGTCAGAACTCCAACACGGAAAGGGGACAATCCCCTCCTCCTCTGCGTTCTCCCAGGTGCCTTACAGAATGCTAAAGCCTTGCAAATAGATGGGCTCCTCAAATTTAAGCTCGTGGTCACCTTTAAAGTCCTCCAGGGAACTACAGGCCTGGATCCCCGGCCAGCTCTAATCTCCCATCCCGGTGATCCCAAGGCGCCCCTTCTCTCGGGTTATCCCGCCCTCCTCCGTCCCGCCTTCCCTCACTCGGGTCTCCTGCCCCGGTGCGGCTCGTCCGCAGCGCCCCGCGAACCCCAGGGCTCCCCGGGCGCCCCAGCACCGCGGCGGGCCGGGCCGC